ACACATACATACACATATATATACATATATATACATATATATACATATATATACATATATATATATATTATATACATATATATATATATATATATATATATATATATATATATATATATATATATATATATCGTGTCTTGCCTCAAATAATTTTCTCGTGACAGTTCTTTAATTAAAAATATGGTTTTATAATAATCGTTTCGTTTTCCAATTCACTTTCATTAAGGGCCAGTCATTACCAAAAGTGCTGTATGGTTGTTATCATTTAACTGACTGTTGTATTCTTATACTGCACAGTGTTGTTTATATTTTGAATGTATTTTATCAATATTTGAGTGCATTTACATTTTAATAAATAATTTATCCATTTCCGCTTCTTGTTTAACTTTCCACGTCGTTCGAAAACTTTAAAAAGTTCACGTATGTTTGGCATTCATATTTCTGGAACTTCCACCACGAAATGTCGTTGCAGATAAGTACATGCAATGCCAACTCCAATATGGGCATTCCCCTTCCTCCCTACATATATTTGTTTATATATGTGTGAGTGTGTGAGTGAGTGAGTGAGTGAATGATGGTGTGTGCGTGTGCGTGTGCGTGTGCGTGTGCGTGTGCGTGTGCTTGTGCGTGTGCTTGTGCGTGTGCGTGTGCGTGTAATCGCTATTGTGATTAATAAACTTGCCACAGTCTCCTCTCTTGACCGGCATTACCAATACTTGGGAAACTGTTGCGTTGAAAGGATTACCTTCCGTTTCCTCCGTTCCGATTTCTACCTGGAGAGATTTTAAGTCAATGAGTGTGAAGGTCGGCTGAATATTTTGAAAACTGGTGTGAGTTTAGTATGGTATTCATAAATTGGTCTCCCTCTTTTTCTATTTCATTCGTAACATCATCTGTGAATTACTGGTAAATCAGAGACAGTGACATGAAATTAATACACAATAAAAGCGTACTGATGTCGTCTCCGAATCAATGATATTTGGCGCAATATGCTTTTCCTCTGCCATACATTATTTTTTTTCTTCTGCTATTCCAAGTTGAGTAACTCTCAGAATCTTAGTCACCATGATCTTGATTTTTACTGTATATTAATCCACGTCTGAAGTATTAACCCAACCCATCCCGGATTTACGTTGTCTCCTGTGATTTTCTGTGAATGTTGTTACATACAGATGGCACATGTGCTCAGCCGATCCTGATTTCCACATTCCTTGAATTGGCGAGATTTTTTTTTTTTTTTTAATACAATTGATATCAATACTGTTATTATTATTGATGTTATGATTATGGAATTGTTCTTAAAGTCTTGGTAACGTGTAAGACAATAAAATACTATAAAAGCTTTCCAAAAGTCAAGGAAAAGGGTAAATAGGTGAGATAGGTAGGATTAATAACTGACTCTTTGGTGACTGAGCAATTGCAGAGCCATCTATGTGTAAATACAATAAATAAACTTATATTACAATGGGCATAGTATGTATTTTTGACATAAGCGCCGATTGGGTTAAACATTTTCATCCCTCCTATGAAACATTTTACAGTTTTCTTTGAGTTGTAATCGTAGATTCTACCATGTATTTTTGTTTCATACCTTTTTTTCCTCTATTTTCTATCCTTTCAAACAATTTACTCGAAGTTAAACCCGACGATGGGACTAAAAAAAAGACAGCACATTGACTAACAGACTTCCATATCAAAACACCTGAGAACAATTTTATGTGGATCTCGGACATAGATACAAATACATAAACACAGACACGTGAGTATTAAAGAGGGGGTAGAAGGTGAAGAAGACGCCAGAGGCCGAAAGAAGATGAAGGGAAACAAAGAAGGGAAGAGGGAATGGATGTGCAACAGAAAGTGGAAGAGGAAAAGGGAACACCAGATAAAGATAGATGAGATGAGATGAGATGAAGGGAGGCGAGAGGAGAGGGGAGGCAGGTAGTTAGGTAGGTAAGTAGGTAAGTAGGTAGGTAAGTAGGTAGGTAGGTAAGTAGGTAGGTAGGTAAGTAGGTAGGTAGGTAAGTAGGTGGGTAAGTAGGCAGGTAGATAGGTAGGTAATTGGGTAGGCAGGTAGGTAGATAAGTAGATAGGTAAGTATGTATGTATGTAGGAGGTAGATAGGAGGTAGGTAGGTAGGTAGGTAGGTAAGTAGGAGGGAGGGAGGGAGGTAGGTAAGTAGGAGGTAGGAAGGAGGGAGGGAGGGAGGGAAGGAGGTAGGTAGGTAGGTAAGTAGGAGGGAGGCAGGTAGGTAGAGGTAGGTAAGTAGGAGGTAGGTAGGAGGGAGGGAGGTAGGTAAGTAGGAGGGAGGGAGGGAGGCAGGTAGGTAGGTAAGTAGGAGGTAGGTAGGAGGGATGGATGGATGGATGGATGGATGGATGGATGGATGGATGGATGGATGGATGGATGGATGGATGGATGGAGGGAGAGAGGGAGGGAGGGAGGGAGGGAGGGAGGGAGGGAGGGAGGGAGGGAGGTAGGGAGGGAGGTAGGTAGGAGGTAGGTAGGAGGGAGGGAGAGAGGCAGGGAAGGAGGGAAGGAGAGAGAGAGAGAGAGAGAGAGAGAGAGAGAGAGAGAGAGAGAGAGAGAGAGAGAGAGAGAGAGAGAGAGAGAGAGAGAGAGAGAGAGAGAGGGAGGGAGGTAGGTAGGAGGTAGGTAGGTAGGAGGTAGGTAGATAGGAGGGAGAGAGGGAGAGAGGGAGAGAGGGGGGGGAGGGAGGGGGGGAGGGAGGGAGGGAGGGAGGGAGGGAGGAGGGAGGGAAGGAAGGAGGGAGGTAGGTAGGAGGTAGGTAGGTAGGTAGATACGTAGATAGGTAAGTAGGCAGGCAGGCAGGCAGGTAGGTAGGTAGGAGGTAGGTAGGTAGGTAGGTAGGTAGGTAGGTAGGTAGGTAGGTAGGTAGGAGGGAGGGAGGGAGATAAGGTAGGTAGGTAGGTAGATAAGTAGATAGGTAAGTATGTATGTATGTAGGAGGTAGATAGGAGGTAGATAGGACGTAGGTAGGTAAGTAGGAGGAAGGAAGGAGGGAGGGAGGGAGGGAGGGAGGGAGGGAGGGAGGGAAGGAGGTAGGTAGGTAGGTAGGTGGTAGGTAGGTAGGTGGTAGGTAGGTAGGTGGTAGGTAGGTAGGTAGGTAGGTAGGTAGGTAGGTAGGTAGGTAGGTAGGTAGGAGGTAGGTAGGAGGTAGGTAGGAGGTAGGTAGGAGGTAGGTAGGTGGTAGGTAAGTAGGAGGTAGGTAGGAGGGAGGGAGGGAGGAGGTAGGTAGGGTAGTAGGAGGTAGGAGGGAGGGAGGGAGGGAGGGAGGGAGGATAGGAGGTAGGTAGGTAGGTGGTAGGTAGGTGGGTAGGTAGGTGGGTAGGTAGGTGGGTAGGTAGGTGGGTAGGTAGGTGGGTAGGTAGGTGGGTAGGTAGGTGGGTGGGTAGGTAGGTGGGTAGGTAGGTGGGTAGGTAGGTGGGTAGGTAGGTGGGTGGGTAGGTAGGTGGGTAGGTAGGTGGGTAGGTAGGTGGGTAGGTAGGTGGGTGGGTAGGTAGGTGGGTAGGTAGGTGGGTAGGTAGGTGGGTAGGTAGGTGGGTAGGTAGGTGGGTAGGTAGGTGGGTAGGTAGGTGGGTGGGTAGGTGGGTGGGTAGGTGGGTGGGTAGGTAGGTGGGTAGGTAGGTAGGTAGGTGGGTAGGTAGGTGGGTAGGTGGTGGGTAGGTGGGTGGGTAGGTGGGTGGGTAGGTAGGTGGGTAGGTAGGTAGGAGGTAGGTGGGTAGGTAGGTGGGTAGGTAGGTGGGTAGGTAGGTGGGTAGGTAGGTGGGTAGGTAGGTGGGTAGGTAGGTGGGTAGGTAGGTGGGTAGGTAGGTAGGTAGGTAGGTAGGTAGGTAGGTAGGTAGGTAGGTAGGTGGGTAGGTAGGTGGGTAGGTAGGTGGGTGGGTAGGTAGGTGGGTAGGTAGGTGGGTAGGTAGGTGGGTAGGTGGGTGGGTGGGTAGGTAGGTAGGTAGGTAGGTAGGTAGGTAGGTAGGTAGGTAGGTAGGTAGGTAGGTAGGTAGGTAGGTAGGTAGGTAGGTAGGTAGGTAGGTAGAGCAAAGAATGCAAAGAGAAGATTGGAGGTAAAAAGCAAAAGAAAAAGAAAAAAAAAAAAGGACAAAAAAAAATTATCGGCCTTGCACTGGATGAGGAACGAGAAAGAATACCAATAATTTAAGGAGGGAAAACCGGTACAAGGAGTATTACCACTACAGACATATCTAACGTGTCAGGTTGAACACCACAGCCTGGTTATTAAAGGAAGTCTAAACACTCCAACGATGAGCAACAAGCATACATGCAGGAGTCAAAGGAGTTGGATACAGTGGTCAAAGGTAAGACTAAAAAAAAAAACAAATAAAATAAACTCTTTTTTTTTTCTCAAAATAAAATAAAATACATTTAAAGAAGGAGATGACAATAACTATTACAAGCACAATAACATCTAGAAGAATATGGCCATTTCAGAACATAAGGGAGAGAGTTCTACTGCATGATACAAAACCTCCAACATACAGAACATACATTTTCAATCATGATATTGCAAGTCCTTACAACCATTTATGCTAAATAGGAGCATTCATATTAATGTTTACATATCTTTTAACTATCAGAAATTATAAGGGTCAAATGCTTGCTATATTTTAACAAAAAAAATATATATACAAGCATAGCACGTAATCTAACTTTGAACACAAACATTTTCACATGCACTTTCCATAAGGATTCAAGATCGAGAGGAAAGATATCAGAAGTTAAATCCCTCACTCTCCTTCTTCTTCTGGAAATACATGACAAAATAACTGCTCTGTAGAGTTCAGATTTCATTGATAAAGCACCATTCTAGTACCACTTTTCAATATGTTTGAACTCTATATTGATTAAAAATAAATAAGGAAATAAAATAAAGTTCATCTGAATTTTGTCACTGAAAATTGTGGCTATTCGTGAAGACAGAAAACAGGAAAAAAATAGGCATACAGAAAAGCAAACTATATGAAATTATTGGGTTAGTTTTAATACTGCATAATTATTTATTCCTTCATCAATAAACATCACATATACAAGCTCCTTCCTTTCAACTTCGGCAGCTTCACTGTTAACTTCCAACTCTCTCCTGTCCCTTTTCAACCTGAGGACAGGCGCTGAGGGGCAGATCCTGCACCAATGATTCCTTTGGCACTTTACACAATACACAGACCTATCTAAAACACCAGCACATCTTCCTTGGCTAACATCTGCCAGGCAGAGGCTGATAATAACAAACCAGCGGTGGCTGACAATGTCAAGCAGTGGCTGACAGTGAAAGCAGTAGCTACAGTGACAAAAAGTGCCAAGCAGAGACATAGTGCAGGCTATCGCTGCTATGACAAACAATGCCAGCCAGTGATTAACAGTGTTATTTCCAAACTTTCACCAAACCATTGTAGTTAGCAATGACAAGATGAGAAAACCAAGAGTTACAAAGGTCAATATATACAGCATCTGACCATAACTGCTCTATAAATAAATATTTTTTATAATACAGTTCTGCATTATACTCTATATTATAATTTTTTCAAGCCTTTATATACTCCCATATAAATATGTTTTCTTAGACGTAAGTTCACTATAAACATAATACTTTGGTTTGATTTGTATATTTACTTTGCATACAGTAAAGAAAATTATAACAAAAAAAATATCTATTACCATGACAATTAAATGTATGTTAATTAATTAATAAACTAAAAAGGAATAATATTAATATTAATAATAATAATGATGATAATGGTATCAGACATGATTATAACATTTGTAGTAGCAGTAGTAATAATAATGATAATGATGATGATAATCATAATAATAATATTCATAATAAAAAAAACAATAATAATAATAATAATAATAATAATAATAATAATAATAATAATAATAATAATAATAATAATAATAATAATAATAATAATAATAATCAAATTGGTAATATAATTAAAAACATCAAACATCTTCCATTATCATAGCACTACCAATAATACAGCAACTAGTTGGATCACAGATATTCATAATTTTGTCTAACTTAAACTTTTTTACAAAAAGCTTTTGCAAGATACCACATAATTTCAACTTAATTTGAACGTTAAAACCAACTACTCAATGGAAGTTAAAACACCATTGTATGGGTATGACAAATAACTGGTAATAATTGATTGCTTCCATGATGCATTCACAATTTTTGCAAACAGGAGGCACAGTGTGATTCCTATCACTCTGTGTTCACTGATGACTCTCTCATCAACTCCATCCTTAAAGTATTTAAAAGTGTGAGTGTTAGTGTGAGTGTGACTGAGTGTAAGTGTGGAGTGTAAATTTAAATATATGTATGTGGATATGTATAGTATAACAGTCAATGTAAATGTATGTCCAAGAGTATGTGTATGCATATAGGTAAGTTGAAATGTATGCAGATGTGTGTAAATGTAAATGCAAATCAAAGTGTGCATGTATGTGTTCTGTATCTGTATTTGTAAGTGTATTTGTATGTGTATGTGTATGTGTATGTGTATGTGTATGTGTATGTGTATGTGTATGTGTATGTGTATGTGTATGCGTGTGTATGTGTATGTATATGTGTATGTGTAAGTGTAAGTGTAACCGAGGCATACATCCATGTGTGAGTGTGCTTATGCGTGTGGGTGTGTGCATATATGCATTTTCTTGACTGCATCATTACCAGCAATATAAAAATGATGATATCAGTTATGATGATGATAAGTGTAACAACAACAACAATAATAATAATATTAATAATAATAATAATAATAATAATAATAATAATAATAACAATAATAATAATAATAATAATAATAATAATAATAATAATAATAATAATGATGATAATAATAATAATAATAATAATGAATATTAATATAATCATAAAAGCAAAAGCAAATAATAATCAACAGTAATGCCAAAAGGTAGTATAAGTAACAGTAATAACCAAATACCTCTAACAGCTCTGCTTGGCCCTGGGGCAAAATACTGGCTATTCAACAGTCACAAAAAGAAAAGAAAAGAAAAGAAAGATAGAAAAGAAAAGAAAAGAAAAGAAAAGAAAAGAAAAGAAAGATAGAAAAGAAAAGAAAAGAAAGAAAGAGAAAAACATGATCAAAGGCATGGAGTATGACACCAACTCCTGTCAACCAAACATCAGCCTGGGAGAGAAGCCCCTGAAAAATTTTGCCCCAGCGGCTGGACACGACAAAGAGCCAATTCTCAAACGTGCATTTCCCAACTGGATTCTTAAAATGTCTAGGATATACACTTCTGTAAACCACCTTTTTATTTCTTTTTTTTCTTTTTTTTTTGGACTGCTTTGCGGCTATGAATGGGGAAGGCACAACAATTGGTTATTCTGTTCTGCAGTTCATATGAATGTATCCTATGAAACAGTGTTACTGATAAAGTACATAGCTATGTGTAGATGCAGTCTACAAGAGACATAACAAACGCTTTAAGTTAATTCGGGATAGTACCTGATATGTGGGAAGCAAACATATCTACACACACAAAAGAGTCCACCACAATAAATATAATAGCAATAAGTCAAATACATTTGTTAAGAAAAGTATATGGACATGAACACAAGGGGTACAACTGACCAAGTTTACTGATAATATTAAGTAACAGATTATTAACCATTATTCTGAATTGCAAACTGAGAAATCTATAAAGCACCGTTTCCTAAAGAAAACCCTGGGAAGTTTATAAAATAGCGCCAGTACAAAATAATATTCAGATCCAATGCGTTTGGCTGTTCTGTTTTCATTAGAGGACACTTGCACATGTGTATGGGTGCATGTCTACTGCAGTACATGATTGAAGGTTATGTGGCTTGTATAATCTAAAAAGAGTAGCAGAGGAAAATATACATATCACTGAGAATTGTGTCAAACAGCATGAGCACAACTGCAGCATGGGCTATGTGAAGTAGCTGGCAAGTTTTATCCTTTTAATCTTATAAAAATTATATATCAAATAAATAGTTAATGAAAATGGCACCCTCAAACTCTAACAAAAATAAAATCTATACTGTGAACATTTCATTCACTCTCTTTGTCTGCAGGTTAAAGGAAATCAATGTTATAAAGGGTAAAGAAATGGTAATACTAATAATATTAAATTAAATAAATAATGATAATAATTTTAATCACAAAATATCCAAATGCCCTTGTAAAAACTGCCTAGGTCATTATGGCACCTATATGATGCAGCAAACATCCACTTTCAGTGCCACAAAAAGAATACTGAATGGTTTTGGAGTCGAGAGTGCAGTATGCAATCTTCAACGGACGGACAGATGGACTACGCTATGACATGCGCAACGCAAAGTCTAGGTTTTATGGACAGAAGACAACCCTCAGAAACTGGCTGTTGTAAATGCACAAATTTAGCTTCCCACTTCAAGATGATGCAAAAGGCAAAAAAGACTGAAAAAAAAAAAATGTAAAAATAAAAAATGTACAAAGGATCACAGATACTCTAATATTCCTTCTGTGTGTGTGAAAAGAGGGAGGGGATGATAGGAGGACTAGGGATAGGAGCATCTATTACATACCACTTTGTTCACCTTTGTTAATGCAAGTCAAATGTACCTCAGGTTTCTTTATTAACCTTGCTTTACTCACCCTAAACACTCCTACTCCTCAATCTGGAGGTCAGCACCTTATGTTACAAAGAGAAAGAAAGAGAAAGAGAAAGAGAAAGAGAAAAAGAAAGAGAAAAAGAAAGAGAAAGAGAAAGAGAGGAGGAGGGAGGAGGGAGGAAGGAGGGAGGAGAAAGGAGGGAAAGGTTAGAGGAAGGAGGGAGGAGGGAGGAGGGAGGAGGGAGGAGGGAGGAGGGAGGAGGGAAAGAGGAAAGGGGAGAGAGAGGGAGGGGAAAGAAAAAAGACAAAAGACAAGAGAGCAGAGGAGAGAAAAGTCTACAAAGGAGAGAAAGGAGAGGTAAGTGTTAGTTAAATATACCATCAAACGCAATCATACCCTTACCAAAAAGTTCCATAATGCTGTCCAAAAGTCATAGTAGCTATAAATCATTTGGCTTCATTTGCTGTAGCAACCATCAATCTCCTCACATCGAGTTTTGCATTAAGTAACACTCATGAACTACAGGCTGTATCTGCTGAGGACACTTACGATCTACAAACTATGAACACTGCCTTTTTGGCATACATACATTCCATGTAACGTGATATACACAAATAGATATGCATAAATATATAACAATATACATATATCAGTATATCAAAATATATGTATACATCATACATAAATACACACACATATGTGTACAGACAAAACAAATATGATGACTTTAATCCTTTCCTTCCTTAAACGAGTGGATCGACCAGCCATACACAACACGGTCAAACCCAGCTGTAAAGAGGTTACATCTTGCTCCGACATTGTCATCCGCCCAAGCCACACTGCACACCATCCGACGGTGACACTGTAAAGAATTTGAGTCAATGACGCTGAATATCAAACAAGAAAGTAGAGACAGGGATAAAAATCAACAATAATTAGATAGTATTCACTTAAGGCAACATGCTCCCACTAATTCTTTCTCCTCTTCACAATGATTCTAAATCATGTCAACTGCATCCCCTAAAAATTTTAAAAAGGAATGAAAGACTTTTACCTGTCTGTTGCTCCTGGGCAACCTTGCAAGGCGATTCCCCGATAAGTCATAGAGTCGCACATGACGGTTATCATGGGGAATGGCAATGACATTGGAGGAAGATACTGCCAATCTATTCACCGGGGAGTCTAGCCTGATTGTGGCCAGAGGAGATCGCATGTTCTTCACATCCCAAACCTGAGGAAAGAGATACAGACTGCATTAGGGGGAGAAAATCTTGTAGCTCTTCCATTATTTGACTTTCAATCAAGTGCAAATGCAATAAGACAAATAACTTATTGAAAATTAATGAAAAAATACAATTCCAAAGATTAACAAGAAA